ATCCAGGCGTCCCTCTTGTGGGTTTTTTTTTTTTTTTTTTAAGGTTTTATTTATTTGACAGAGAGAAAGACAGCCAGAGAGGGAACACAAGCAGGGGGAGTGGGAGAGGGAGAAGCAGGCTTCCCTCTGAGCAGGGAGCCCGATGCGGGGCTTGATCCCAGGACCCTGGGATCGTGACCTGAGCCAAAGGCAGACGCTTAACGACTGAGCCACCCAGGTGCCCCCCTCTTGTGGGGTTTTGAGCAGAGGGGTGGTATGATCTGATTTGGCAGGAATTCTTTGGCTTTTTTGTTGAGAATAGGCTATAGAAGGGTAAGTGTAGAGGCAGGGGGACTAGTTTGGAGGCTGTTGGAATAATCCATGCCAGAGATGGTAGTGGTTCAGACAAAATGGTAGCAGTGGAGAGAGTGAGAAGTGCTTTGGTTCTGGTTCTAAGTTGAAGATAGAACTAGTAAGATTTCTTAATCCGTGAATGCAGGGAGTGAAAGAGAGGGAGCCGTCACAGATTCCTTACTTCAATGTTGTTTTGTCTGAGCAATTGGAAAGTGGAGTTTCCTTCCTTCAGTGAAGTCGTTAGCCGAGGGTGATCATGAAGGAGGAGGCTCTGGTGATTTGGAGCTAGAGAAAGTGAGAAGTCGAGTGAGTAAATGGACAGGGAAGTACATTATAATGTTTATTTGTAGAGTACTATGTAATCCTCAGAGAGCACATGAGTTGGTTTTGCTCTGTGAATATTACATTTGAAACATTAATAATTAAACTTTGAAACAAAGCAGAGCTCTTTTTGGATAAAATCTGTGTTAAGCAGCCCTTGAACTACTTAATTTAATCTTGTATCTTTTTATTTTGCAGAAAAACTATGGGCAAGCTGATGAAGATTGTAGGCATGGTATGTTTAAAAATGGGACTGTTTTCTACTTTGAAAATTTTGAGTTATTTAAATGAGCAGTGTTTAAGATTTGATTTTTTTATATGCTAATTTCAGGAGAGATTATAGTATTTTAAACACTCCACCTTACAGTGATGACTAGTAACTAATTTGGATGACACCTTCCTTGCCTTGATGGGTGTACACTTGAACATTGTTCCTAGTCACGAGTGAGAACATTGATAGTGTCCTTTTCACGTTTGTGTATTTTCAGTCAGTAAGAGCCAAATTTTAAGAACTGTAACACACATTGATTAAATGTTAAGCTTGGGTCAATTGAAATGCTTGCTTGTTCTTCCTAAAATATTTTTATCCCTCCAGTAGAAGATTTCCCTTAGAGAGGAGAGACTGTCTAGGGTGCTCCTTGGTGCTTTTTCCTGTTTTCTTTGGGCGAGAAATTAATTAAAAAGATTCTTGCTCTTTTGGTACTCATAGAATAGGAATCCTTTTCTTCGTGATTGCTGCCAGTTCACTGGAATGAATTGAGTGAGTGGGAGAAGGGGCTCAGCGTGCATTCTCACACACCCTTGGTGGGATTTTTTGCACAGCTCAGTGATTTGAGTACTGTAATGTGTCATTTATCCAGAATTTGGGGGAGGGGTGCTGAGGTGTTAAACAGAAGTTAAAAGCTTTTTATTACGCTTTTGTATCAGAACTTTTGAAAATATTAACTGTTTTTGTTGTAAACCTTAAAAACTATTAACTCCTGTGGCATATTGGACGTAACCATTCATTGAAGAATGTGAACCTCCTTTAATAAAATCTTTACTACCTGTGGACATTTAAAGTTACCCACAAGCTAAATAATAGTAAGTCAGATGATATAGAGGAATATGAAGAAGGGAATCATTTCCCCTTTTTAGCCCATCTGAAGAAATCCCTGTTACTAGTTTGCTGTATCTTTAGTACCTTTTTCCATAGTGACAAACACAAATGCTTATAATAATGTAGATAGGGGTTTTCCTTTAAAAATTAAAAAAGATTTATATGATCACTACAAAGCATATTTCTTCCATACCAACAGATCATGGATATCTTTCTAAGTTCTACCACTTCCAATTACTGCTTAATATTCCATACTATAAATGTTTCATATTGGGCATTCAGGTGGTTCTAGTTTTCTAGTTTGTTCATTATAATCCATCCTGTAATAAAAATATATTCTTTCTTACTGTTGTTTGTTTCTGTAGGATAGTCTTAAAAGTTGGATGTTTAGGTGAAGGAGTTGTTTTTTCCCTTTTTTTTTTAAGACGTATTTAGGGGCACCTGGGTGGCTTAGTCAGTTAAGTGTCTGCCTTTGGCTCAGGTCATGATCACAGGGTCCTGGGATCGAGCCCCGCATCGGGCTCCCTGCTCCTCGGGAAGCCTGCTTCTCTCCCTCTCCCATTCCCCCTGCTTGTGTTCCCTCCCTCGCTGTGTCTCTGTCAAATAAATAAAATAAAAAATAAAAAAAATTTAAAAAGAGACATATTTATTTTTAGAGAGAGTGAGAGAGGGAGAGCGGGGGTGGGGGTAGGGACTGGGGCAGAGGGAGGGGGAGAGAGAATCTCAAGCAGACTCCCTCTTGAGCATGAACCTGGCCTTGAGCTCATGACCTGAGCCGAAATCAAGAGTTGGACACTTAACTGACTTCGCCACTCAGGTGCTCCTGGGTGAAGGAGTTTTAAAAGTTGGATATCTGGCTTGAAATTATATGTGTGTGTGTGTGTGTATGTGTGTGTGTATATATTTTAAAGATTTATTTAAAATTTTTTTTAAAGATTTATTTAAATTTTTTTTAAAGATTTATTTATTTGGCAGTGTGTGCACGCACACGCAGGGGGAGCTGCAGGCAGAGGGAGAGGGAGAAGCAGGCTCCCCACTGAGAGGGAGCTCGATGCGGGACTCGATCCCACAACCCTGGGATCATGACCCGAGCCCAAGGCAGATGCTCAACTGACTGAGCTACCCAGGTGCCCCTATATGCTTACAGTTTTTTGTTAAAGATTTTATTTATTTGTTTGACAGCGAGTGAGAGAGAGAGAGAGAGAGAGAGGGAGAGAGCACAAGCAGGGGGAGCAGCAGAGGGAGAGGGAGAAGCAGGCTTCTCGCTGAGCAGGGAGCCCGATGTGGGGCTCGATCCCAGCACCCTGGGATCATGACCTGAGCCAAAGGCAGATGCTTAATGACTGAGCCACCCAGGTGCCCGAATATATGCTTACAGTTTTAACAGACATTGTCAGACTTGTTTCTGATGCACGCACGCAGCAGCAGTACATGAGAATGCCTGTGCCCCATAATCTCAGTAACACTGGAGCCTGTCAGTCTTGACATTTTGCCAATCTCATGTGTGAGAAATGGACCCTCTTTCTTCACTTTTCACTACCTTGAGTAGTAGTGAGGTTGGTACAGTCTTCTCATTTTGGAGACATACAAAGTCCCAGAAGGTTAAATGACTTGTGAAAAATCACAGGAGAGTAAATGCTGTTAGTGAAGGAGCATATGGAATATTTTTCTGTTGTTTTACTTAGCTTTTCACAGTTAGATACTGTTTTACAACTACTGAATTGCTAAAATAAATGTTTAACCAGGAACCTTTTGGGAGTGATGGATATGTTCATTACCTGTATTGTGATGATAGTAACATGGTGTATACATATGTGCAAACTTACCGAATTTATACATTAATTATATGCAGTGTTTTGTATACCAGTTATACCTCTATAATGTTGGGGAAAAAAAAGTTTAATGTCTAGGATAAAGTTCTAATGAAATAAGTATACTCTTGTGTTGGTGGAGTATGAGGGAGAATGCAGCATGGTAATATGTTTATACCCTTTGACCCATTAATCTCATTTCTGGGATGCTTTCCCAAGTAAATAATCCAAAAGAAGGAAGAAATTGTATGTGGACTGGTGTTCATTGCAGTGCTACGTGTAAAAGTGAAAAATCCGCTTCCAGTAAGGGAGGACTTCTTTAAATTCTGTGCATTCCTCGTTACCATTTAGGTGATATGGAAGAACATGGAAAACGCTTACTTAAATGCAAAAGCAGTGTATATAAAGTTGTTTATTTGAAATAGATATTTGGGAATATTGGCCAAGTTTATATGTATGTATTGCTAGTTGTAGAGTTCTATTAGATGAATTTTTTTTCTTTTCAACTTTTGGTAATCTTAATGTAAGAGAAAATACCATGGTTAGGCAGTGAGTTAGTAATAAAAAGCAAGTCAAGAATCTCAGCCTGTTAATTAGTATACTGCTTTGTAATGCTGGAGAGCTATGGAATGGCTCCTGTCCTACGGGCCCCAACCTTAGGTTTGCATTTTCCATACTGTATTGTTTTGACATCTGTTCCCTTACTGTCAGGCTGTCAGTTTGCATTTCTTGCAACGCTCAACATGCCTCATTGTAACTACCTTCTCCCTCTTTTCCATTTGCTGCTTCTGACTTTCTGATTTCACTTTCTCAGGCAGGGTTAAGATATCAGACAGGCAATCGTTGTTACAGAATTAAAAAACTTTAAAAGTGTTTTTTGTTAATGAAGAAATTACGATATTTTCCTGTAGGAAAATAGATGTTTTTAATAAACATTCATATTCTCAAAACTTAGATTGTGAGATTTTACTGTATTCATTTTTTTTCTGAGATATTTGAAAATAATGACAGGCATCGTGATAATTAACCCCTGAATACGTTAGTATGCATCTTCGAAAATAAGGCCATAATTGCATAATCACAGTTTTTTTTATTAACCAAATAAAATTGACAGTGATTCTCTAATATTACCTAAAACCCAGTCTATAATCAAATTTACTTGGTTGTCCCCAAAATGTTTTTTATGGCTGATTTCTTTCAAGCCAGGAACTAATTAAAATCACAAAGTTTAAAGTTGGAATTTTATTTCAAAAAGAGTAAATAGACTGTGAGTAAGGACTTGAAGGGATCTTTTGTTTTTTTTTTTAAAGATTTTATTTATTTAATTGACAGAGACAGCAAGAGAGGGAACACAGGCAGGGGGAGTGGGAGAGGGAGAAGCAGGCTTCCCGCTGAGCAGAGAGCCTGACACGGCGCTTGATCCCAGGACCCTGGGATCATGACCTGAGCCGAAGGCAGTTGCTTAACCAACTGAGCTACCCAGGTGCTCCAGGACTTGAAGGGATCTTAAAAATTAACTACATAGGCTTTAAGTTCATGGACCTTGGTTCTCAGTTTGGTGTTGTGCTGTAGGTCGTGCTAGTTGTCACACTCGTGAGCACTGGATAAATGAGGTGGGCAACTCTGTTTTCATTATCTGAACCTAAGTTGTATTTGGCATAACAGGAACATATTCCTGAAATAATTATTTTTCTCTGCATTTGAAATATTGATTATATAGGAAACTTACAGTTTTTACATTAACAAAATAGAATAACACTGTATTTTAACTAACTGGAATTAAAACTAAGACTTAAAAAATAACAAAATAGAATGAGATAAATGGCAAAAGTGAAATCAAAAGAAAATATTACCAACTAAAGGAGTATTGTGCTACATGTAGTATGTAGATCAAACTCAGTCATCATAAACATCAATGAATATTTTTCATAAGGCTGCCAGATTTTTAAACCCTAGCTGAGAATGTCATTATTATTTTTTAAGTACTGTCTATACCCAATGTGGGGCTCAAACTGACAACCCTGAGATCAAGATTTGCATGCTCTACTGACTGAGCCAGCCGGGTGCCTGGTCATTAATTTTTTTTCAACTGATGTATAGTTGACACACAGTGTTACATTGGTTTCAGGTGTATATAGCATAGTGATTCAACAGGTTTATACATCGTGCTGTGCTCACCACAAGTGTTGCCGCCATCTGTCACTGTGCAACCCTATTACAGTTCCACTGACTGTATTCTCTGTGCTGCACCTTTCATCCCCGTGACCTATTCATTCCGTAACTGGAAAGCTGGAGTGTAGCTCCCACACCCCTCCACCCGTTTTG